TGTATTTGATTATGTTTATCTGCAATTAGTTACACGAATTCAGATATGAAACTTTAATAAGTTGTACCTATGCACAATTACTTGTAATCTTGAGTTTTAAGTAATATATATTAATAAACAGTACTTTACGCATAAAAAATGTTTTTTAAAAGTTTTTGTCAAATGATTTATAATATAAAATATTTTTTTAACATACAATTTATTTTTGGTTTAATATTATAAATTTTATAAAGATAATAATTAAGTATTCTGTTAGAATTTAATGATTATACTAATTATATTTTAGATTTTTTATATTTAAATGAGATGTTTATCCTGTATTTGATTGTGTTTATCTGCAGTTAGTTACACGAATTCAGATATGAGACGAAATCGGATAGGGATGAACGGGTTTAAGAGTTTGTAAGAGTTTTTAAGAGTTTTAAGAGTTTTTAAGAGTTTTAGCCAAATGCTTTATAAGATAGTATAGATATATCAAATTTTCACTAATTAGATTTTATTAGTTTTTTCGAATTATTTAAATATATTTGTTGATGATTCTTTTAACAATTAACATATATTTATATAGACAATCTTCGAATTATTAACCAAAATACTCATATTACTGTGCAACACACGGTTCCCACACTAGTTTTAAAATAAAAGGGAAATACGTTTCGCGTGTTTTCATGTTAATTTGTAATAGCTCATGTAAAATGAGTTTATGGGAGGGTAGTTTGGTAATTTGACTTTTCGAACACCGCTTCGATTTCCGACTGTTAATATCAACCAAAAAATGGAGAGCAGTTCGAGGCTTCGAGAATCGTCCGTCGTGAAGGTTGTTCTCCGATGTAACCCGAACCACAAAATCCATTACAATTCGGAGGTTTTATGGATTTGAAGAAGAAGAGATATCAATTTCTGGCATTTGTTATTGGCTACATGTTCCTCAGTCACATTGGTACATACATTTTACTTTCTCAGCCAACTTTTAGATTATAGACAAGTTTAGTGATTATCAAATTCAAAATTGATTTGAAAATTTTCATTTTCTAAATCGTCGATACGTTTGTATTCTACCAAATTAAGGTAATTATCGTCAAATATGAAATTTGTTGATGCCAGAAATTCGAATGTGGAATTTTTGGGGACGAAGGTACTCGTGATCACCTCTATTGTGATATGCTTTCTTTGATTGCTTCTTTAGATTTGTAGCAGCTATTGCTTCAAACTTATGGTGTTTGAACTACGTCGTGTTTCTGTTCATTTTCTCATTTTAGTTGAACATAAGAAGAAATTAGTATGAATATCATAGGCACAGGAGCTATCCAAGTAAATGAAGATCTTATATGGTTCCCTGCAAGCTCCGTTCCAAATGAGATATTTTGTTGAGATTTGACTGACTGAATTTGAACTTCAAAATTAATATGAAATTCTTCAAAATTTGAAGAAAATTTTGATTACTGCTTAATTTTCATGGAAAGGACTGGAAATAGGAGTATATTTTTGTTAGCTTCTCGTTGAATTTGTATTCATTTTGGTTGAGAAATTCCAGGTTTGACATCATAAAATAAAAGTTAACACTTCTGTTGTTATCATTTGCTTTTTATTTTGAAAGGAAAAGAGTGGTAATTTTGAGTGATATTTCTGATGAAGTATTAGAAACAAGTTGCAATGTTTTAATACTGGATATAGCAGTTAATTAATGGGCATAATCTGTGGATTCATAGGAAAATGTCTTTTGTTTATGCATTTAACAATTTGTTTCTCAAATAAGTCCTCAGTTCGTTTCTATTCTTAATTATCCGTCCCTTTGTATATCTGTTGGTCTGTCAAGTGGTTGAAGTAGATCCATTTTTTAATCAGTTCCCTTATACTGTTAAGCAAAGAGCAGTATATTGAAGTTGAACTGACTATCTGTTCATTTCATGTTACAATGTTTTTAAGTATGATATAATACAAACGAGATTAGAGACTAAATAGAAGAAATCTGAAAGTGAATGGTCTAAAAACATCAATGTAACCTGAATGAGATAGCTTCAATTAGCAGCTAAACCTTGAGGGGTTAGCTCAACCGGCAACAGGACTAGGGCTTTTGGGATCCTCCAAGGATAACCGGTTCCAATCCACCCAAGGCCGGTGGGGATTTTCCTGGATTTTTTCAAGGGACCTATGGATTAGTTGAAGTCGTGCAAGTTGGCCCAAACACCCACAGTTAAGAAAAAAACCCGTGCATCTTACGTGGGAGGCAATGAAAAGGCCTCCTAAGATCATCCCATGCGTAACGAACCTATCACTGAAATACCATCTCATTTGTTTATTAGATGTCCATATACACCAAAGCTGTTGAACACTAGAGTCTGCCGTTTTGGAGGGGAACAATTGTATACCTTGCTTGTCCGAGTAGCAGACTAACAACGGCAATGTAACTGTGCAAGGACTTCTGATCAATTGAATTCTGGACTTGATCGATCGACTTGGAGCGTTGGGCTATAATTAGATCTATTTTGGGCCTTGGGCTATAATTAGATCTATTTTGGGCCTTGGGCTGTAAGGACTTTATTGATGGATTAAATATATTTTGGGCAGATTCATTTACACATTATCAGTGTATGTATATATATAAAAGGACTTCATTGATGGATTATATCTATTTTGAGCAGATTCATTTACACATCATTAGCATATATATACAATAGACTAATATATTATATATAGATATAACTAAAATTTTCGAAGTTATATATTTTAGAGGCGAGTTGTTAAGTTGGGTTGAGCTAGGCCTAATACAATTTTAACCCTCTTAATTGGCGGTTTAACTGTGAGGAGAGTTGGGTTTAACTGGGTTGTTAGCGGGCTGGGTTGGGCAGGTTGAAGTTTTCTGTACAGCCCTACATATGATTCTTTCATCTGGTTACCTGGTTTTCTACATTTGCTTAGATAAAGTAAATAGTTTATGTTTTCTCTATAATCTGATCTGCATTTCTTGGCTTATTGATAACACTATCCTTTCCTCCGTTTTTTAATAGCAAAGAATATATTTTTTCAGTCATTGCGAATACAAAACACCTTAAATGAGCAATCCTGGTTAATACTTAATTTCACATTCTCTGTACATTCAAAATATCACGTTTACTGCAGAAATTTTAGTACTTGGAAGCAGAATATACAATCTTGACCCATCAGAATACTCTACACGAAATTTTGATACTAAGGTGTTTACACCTCTTTACTTTAAGGATTATAAATATATATTATCTTCTTTAAGCTTCTTTTACCATCTTGGGTGTCCTTTCCCATTATTCCTCAAATCCCCAACATTTGATCCCAGAAAACCTTGTCTCTAACTCTCTTTTCCCCTTCTCTTCAGCTGGAAGATGTAGGGAGACAGTTGGAGAAAGAGGCTCATCACAAACTGGGAAGTTTAGTATCTTGGACTGTTTCGATGGGGGTTCAGGAACAGTAGTATGTGGTGTGAAAGAGAGTGTGAAATATTACACCAACAACATCAGAACAGTTCATGTTGAGTTAGCAAGAAATAAAGCATTTGAATCCTCATTAGCTGATGCACTCTCACAAGGCATTGAAACCAAAACTGCAACCAAACAAGCCAAGAAAGCTGGAGATAAAGCTGCCAAAATAGCAAACAAGAATGCCAATCGCATCTTGGGACCTATTGTTTCTTCTGGATGGGATCTTTTTGAAGTAATTTATTATCAAGGATCTGTAACCGAAGGGAGTCTAAGGAGTGCAGGTACATTGTGTGGGACGTATATGATGGGGTTCTTAGCGGAGGAACGGTATGGTAAGCTCGGATATTTGATTGGAAGCCAATTGGGAAGTTGGATCGGGGGAAAGATCGGGCTTATGGCATATGATGTTGTTAATGCCATGCATTTCTTGCTTCACATTGGTCGAATAGAGTAACATGAGGGAGGGTATACGCTAACCTCCGGAGCACCCCCACCATACTGGCCTCACACATTATAACAAATAGACTGTTTTATAAGAGTTAAGTTTATAGTAGCAAACGATTATGCCTCTCATGTAAAAGTGTTGCAATAAGTTTATACGAAGCTTTTGGGCATCTTATCAAGCTTTTAGCACACTTTTGAAATAAAGGGTTTTATTAAATATATTATCTACTTATAGAAGTAACACCTTTTTCTACAGGACACTTGTTTTTATAAGATAATTTTTTAAATAATATCGTAAAAAAATAAATAGGACACTTTGTTTCACACTTGTCTTGAAAAACTTGTCAAGAGCAGAAAAACATCATATAAACTTATTGTATCATTTTTAAAAGTGATGCATAAGTGTTTGGTGATATAAACTTAAGTCTGTGTCTATTACAACACTTGGACATTTTTAGCATCCTATAAACCTGATTTTGTTGTAGTGTCGGTCATCATCACGATAAGTCAGCAGGCAATGGTGCCTGGGTTTGACACAATTATGGAACTCTGATCCCCTGAAGAATTTGGACCAGGTAAATGCTGTTTTCAGTTTTTGATTATTCATTTTGTTCAAAATACATTATATATTTAGAAATAGATGCAGATTGAGTTCTTAGACTCCATAGATACAAAGCTGAACTTATAGATGCAGATGATTTTGGGCATTATGGCAATATCACTGACTTGCATGCTGGTTTTCTATCCCTATGATGTATCTAGAAAAGGCCTCGTTCCTTCTTCTAATTAGAGAACACACTGATAAAATAAACGAAATACACACATTTGACGCATAGAAAGATTCAAGCCCGTAACCACAATGTTCAAAGATTCGCTAATTACCAGTTGAGCCAAAGACAATGGTTAAAGCCTGGTATTGTTTGTGCAAAAGGGTTTGCAACCCGACAACCGCCAGTTGGTCCACACTATCCCCTCCATGAGAGGCAAATCAGGTACACACGGGTCTGGTCTGCTAGGTGTTCAATCCCCAAAGGAACTATGAACTCCCACTCAACAACGATCGAGCTTATTGAACTCATATCAAATAATCATCATTTTTGCAGTAATGGAAAAAAGCATGATTTCTTTTAAAAAGTAGTTGGTTTGAAGAAAAAATTGCAAAGTATAATGCGCTTATATATATGTTAGATATTTAGATCTACGTTTCCAAAATCTGTCAAAAATTGATCATTCTTACGAAAATGTAGTTTTTGCCATTGCTCTTTTGTAAGAACTACGACATGTTTACGACAAAAACAAGAAAATACTGTGGTGAGAAATTAAACGTTTCTCGCTCTTTTGATTTGCAGCGGTTGTTTTCAAGCAAAAGCTGGAAAAAAGGAAAACCCGGACCCATGTTTGACCTAGCAACCCGTTTATTGTTTTTTTTGAAGTATATAATATTTAGGTTGTTTCTTTTATAAACCAACATGAGGTATGGCATCCCAAAACTCAACCCGAACCTGGTAGTACAAAACGCATCTCAAAATTGTAGGAGATGAAGTAGAAGAAATATGAAACATGAATCCGAAATTACCCGATATACCGAACATAGATCAGTAGAGTGTACAAAACCCCAGGCCCAATGGATGGAGAAAGAAATACAAATCTATTGATCGATGGAAAATTTTCAAAACAACCTAACAAACTTTTTTATTTTGAATGATTAAGTCTTTGAACTATTTTTTGAATAAAAAACCATTAAACTTTCTCATTTCTAATGATCAAGTCTCTAAACTATTTTTTTAATAAAAAAACTATTAAACTTTCTTATTTTGAATGATTAAGTCTTTGAACATATCTTTTTGAATAAACGAACCATCGTACTTTTAAAAATTGGTCACGTAAATCATTTTAACCCAAAAAAGTAACATGTAACCGGCTAACAATGTTGTAAAGTAAAAAAAAAACATAAATTAATTTTACTGTTTCCAAACCCTACCCCCTCGTTACTTCTTGCCGCTCCATCATTGTGTGTTCCCTATACGTCCATTACCGTGATTAGCCCCTCCCAACAATCTTTGTTTTTTATCCATTTTCTCTTTCGATTCTTCCTCTCTTACAACAATGTAGTGGAACATATGTAGACATATAAAAAAGGATAGAGGATCGGAAAATAAAAAAAAACCAACCAAAAATAGTGAGATCGATGGTAGGGACCAACATCGATGATGGACGAAAATAGAGAGAGATGACAATGAGGCGGTGGGGGGTTTGAATGACGTAGGAATGAGAATAGTAAAAACCGATTGAAGTTTTTTTTTACTTTAAAACCTTTGTAGCCAGTTTCAGGTAGTCTTTTTGGGTTAAAAAGATAAAGGTAACCAATTTTTAAAAGTTCGATGGTTTATTTATTAAAATAACGTTTAAAGACTAAATCATTCAAAATCAGAATATTTAATGGTTTTTCTTTCAAAAAAGCCTTTAGGAACTAGACCATTCAACATGAGAAAGTTTAACTGTCTTTTCATTCAAAAAAAAGTTTAGGGACTAAACCATTCAAAATGAGAAAGTTCAACGGTTTTTTCACTTAAAAAAGTTTAGGAATTAAACCATTCAAAATGAGAAAATTTAACGGTTTTTTCATTTACAAAAATTTAGGGACTAAACCATTCAAAATGGGAAAGTTGGTTGGGTTTTTTTTTTTTTTTTTTTTTTTTTTTTTTGGAATTTTTGCTTGCTTATTTGTGTATTTGAAAGCAAGGATAAACTTATTTGTGTCCCCAAACTAAACTTAACTACATCTTTCGTTACCGATGGAAGATGGCTTATGCGATCCGAGGTACTTAAATGATGAGAATAAAGTGGGCGATCCTTATAAAACATGAGCGCAACACAAGCCTTCTATCCGAGGAGTCGTCCTAATCTCTTTATACAAACAGATCACATAAACACATCTAATTTGCTTCGATGTAATAGATATGTATTTTTAAGAACAAAAAGAATACATTATCAAAAGTATAACATATCAGAACTCTAAAACAATATTATTTTTTTATGAAAATATTCAAATATTGTTCATTTAAGTGGAACTTGTAAATTTTTACGGCTTTAAAGTCCTACACAGTTTTCTTCAAACTAAAAAGTTCAACAATTTATTTTTCGGTAAACAAAATCAACGAGCCATTTAAAAACCGACTTTTCCATTTTGTTGCATTTAAAGTCTTTGAACATTCAATCTAATGATATAAGTTAAACCAAGAAGCTTAAAAGCTAAGTTTATGAGTTTCTGGTTTGGTTTCATGATTCAAGCTTGATCTACTTATCAATTATCAATCAAAAAATAACAATTAACACATTGTTTCAATAACCAAAATCGAGTAAGCCTCAAAATATTTAGACTCATAAACAATCAATAAAATATTTAGCTCTAATTATAACGACAAACAATACTTATTTCTAAATAATAACAAAGCCTCTTAGGCGCTGCGCCATTGCTTAATAATGTTATGCATGTTCTAAAACCGTCAAATAAAATATGAAATGTAGAAATGCAAGTTAATGTAAGATAGTGACCTTGTCCCCAATGAATTCTATCATTGTGCTAACAGGTAAGAATCCATAAGTGAGGCCTCGAGTTCGAATCCAAACACCATCTACCAATCTATGGTATTTGTGCCTTGGGGTGGAAAATATCAGTCACTACTGACTCGTTCAGGTTATGTTCCTACATGAGGAACCTCCCCAGATCCAACATAACCATCAATTGATTTTGTAAGCAACTTTTATAGTTATCTGTTTTGGGGTTTTGATTTATTATTAGATTTAGATTTAGGTTATTGTGTGTGAATCTATTTCTTAATAATGTTTTTGAATGATCTTGAGTTTAATTTTTATGAATGTTCCTTGAATTTGAATTGTTTTTTGGGCTTGAATATGGGTTTCAATCATTTTGGGAGTTTGAATTTGTGTCTGATGAATCTAGGTTTACATAAAACAAATTCAAACAGTGAAATTAGGGTTATTCGATCGAGGAATACAAGGTGAGGAGAAAGAAGATGAGTAAAAATACCAATTTCCCCTTATATGAGGGGCACATGAGTATTTAATGGACCTTAAGTTAACAATGTTAACTTAAGAGACCAATCTGTTATGTAAAATACAAAATACATATCAATGTGTACTTAATGCCTTTTAGGGACCAAATCCAAAAGGCAGACGGATCACACATGTAATTCATTGTTTACTTTTTGATGGGTGTGATCGTGTCATATTCATATACGAATACACTTACCATAAGAGTGTTGGTAACGTATTCACGTGTGCAAATAAAACATATAGCCAAGACATATTCACATATGATTACAATAGTGAACTACCCATTTGAATCATTTCTTACACCCGCCTAAAAAACAAAAAGAAAGTATAATATCATGATTGTCAATTAAACAGATGAATTTTTATATAATATGTTTCATTCAAAATATTATTAATTACTTTTTAAACATTTTAGATTTAAAAAACCATCTATTTTAGTTTTAAAATTAAAACGTTATCAAATTTTAATTAAAAATAACCTTTCTCCTGTTAAGAGAATCAAAAGTAGGTGTCATTATATTATTAATTACAACAATGTAGTCGTTAGATATCGACCTGGAAATCAATGCATTAGGATTGAAAATTTATTTTCGAATTTTTTGTTCTTTGATATTCACACTTAAACTGTCTCCTAACCTATTTAAGAAGATTCGAGTCTAAATAGCAAATCAGTCCCATCAGGACCTGATCCAATGGAAAAAGTTGCAAGTCTAGAACCAATGAGGAGGTTGCAAATGAACATGGTTTTATTTGGAGAGGTTAAAGATCTACTCCAAAACTTGAAGGATGGTTTGTATTGACATCGTGGATATAAGACAACACTGGTTATAACACATTATAAGCTCGTTCATAACTAAAAAAATGACCACCTCTACTATCTCGTACAACCATAATTTTATTTGGACTTCCTATTTTTTTTCTTTCTAAAAAGGTCCACAATCGCATTTGCTTCAAAAATCGAGTTTTGACTTGACGGATCTTAGAATCGTTCTTTTTTGCACCCATCCTTTTGCATATACCTGGTTATCATTATAATATCACTATTAATAACAATTGTCTTATTATTGTGCATATTTGTTGATTAAGAGTGATGTTTGAAAATTTATTATGTTAAAAGAAATTATATAAAACATCTCATACGTATGTATCGGCTAAGCAAATTTTACTTTTTAACCTTAAAATTTTAACAACTCTTTACACTATATTTAGGGTTCATCTTCACTATTCAATCCATAGTTAAGGAATTACTTTCTCTATCTTTTACTTGCAAAATCTTCCACTTAATCTTTTTATCAATTAAGTTTTATGAAAAAAACAACCAATAAAAATATGATACTTATACAAGTATTTTCAGGGTCGTTCCAATCTTTTTGGAGATCCTGTTATATTTGTATCAACATTATAAATTGACCAAATAAATAATAAATAATAAATAAAATATAATATAATACTTTATATCATATGTATATTAAAAAAATTTACAAATCAAGGGCAAAATGCGCAAAATAGCAACCTATTTTTGCAAATTTTCTTATTATAGCATTGTATTTTCAGTTTTTCTTATTACATCAATGTACTTTCAAAACATTTTTTA